GACGGTAAAAATGAAACGTTTTATTATTATTCACGATATTAAAATCACTAATGTTGATCGTATTTTCAGAAACTTCATTAAAAAGTTTATCAAAGTAACTCACCCACCTATGTTGAATATCTTTTTCTAAGAAAAGTACTTTTTGATTTTCATCTTTAATACACTTTACTTGAGTTAAATCTTTGCTTTTCTTTTCTCTTTGTTTGACTAGTTTATATATATATTTTTCGCCCTCCTTAGTATCTAATATATTACAAAGATCATTAAAAACAGAATTTTTAGCGTCACAGATTGTTCTTTTGGACTCTCTGTGGGCCGTTTGATATTTTTCCCAGTTCTTTAAGCTTTTATATTTAACTTATTTTTATAACATAACTTATATTTTATCTTTTCCTGCACATTATTATTCCACAAACTATTTTTATTTATAAAAACTTTTTCTTTTGATTCTCCAAGCACATTTTTTGCTACTTGTTTAATAGTGTTTGTTATTTTATCCCACATAACATTTACTTCTTCATGAATATCCTAAATTTTGAAATCTTAAATTTTACTTATTAAAATAATTTTATTTGTGTCTTTTAAGTTTGTTCATCTAATTTTACGATGTTGAGTCCTAGTATTCTTTATTTTACAACTCTTAATCTTAAAATCTAGAACTAATAAAAGATATTGGGTATTTAAATTTTCACTTGGGATGACCTTACAATCTTTACAATCGTGACGATCTCTTCTTCTCATAAAAAATAATCAATTTGTGTTTTATTAGATCCACTCTTATAAGTAATAAGATGTTCATCCCTTTTCTTGAATAAAGTATTAGTAATAACAAAATCAAACGCTAAAGCAAAATCTAAAATAACTTTACCTTCTTCATTAGTTACTCCGAAACCGTAGCCACCATGAATATTTCTGAAATCTTCTACCACTCTACCGACATGTCCATTTAAATCTCCTCCAATAAAAATTCTTTCTTCAAGAGGTATCATTTGTATTAAGTCTTCTAAGTCATTCCAAAATTTATCTTTAGACTCTGTATCTAAACCTATTTGAGGAGCATAAACACTTATAATATTAAAAATCTTAGTATCAATGATAATCTTAAGGGCTATAATTCTATCACCAACTCTATTAATTTTTACAACATTATCTTTCAAACTCTTATATATAATTACACCTACACCATTTCTAGTGCGACTCTTACCAGAATACCAAAGTTTAAAACCTAAATTATCAATCTCCTTAGCCTTTTCTCCCACCCACTTAGTTTCTTGAATACATAAGATATTAATTTTCCTATGAATCATAATATCAACTAATTCCATTAATTTACCATTGAGAGTGCCTATATTTCAAGATCCTATCCTAATATTAGTTTTATTAGTTTCATGGACTAACTTCTTTACCCGCATTCACCCGTAATGTGGGAACCCTTGCTTATTTAACACTACACCCGGGCGCCGGTGTAGCAGCCCTTGCACACTTTTCACTGTATTCAGACTATACAGCGCATAGCTTCCAGGGGACGCCCTAGCGCTCACACAAAGATCAAAAGGATTCATGTCATG